CAGACAATTAGTAGCTATGATTTTTATCTAGGACTCAATATATGCTTAATTTACAACCTTTGAGATAAATGACAATTTTCTGTTTGATTATAAATTTAATAGTTCAAGAGGATCTTTTCTTGGATTAAAAAACTTCTAAGGATCAGTTTATATCTATAATGCAAATTTGTTAAATCTTAAAAGTAACAATTATTTCAATTAATATTTTGAGATAGGTTTCGTAAACAGCAGTGTTATGGAAGAATATTTCACAAATAATTTTCCTGAAATATACAATAACTTCACAGGATAAAGGGTTGCTTTTATAGGAATTGATTAAGAATCTAGTTATATTTCTGGATTAACCATAGAGTAAGCTAATCTTAATAACAATTCCTTTTAAAGTACTGATAGTTAAGAAGCAAGTTTTTTCTTTACTCAAAAGTAAATAGAATATTTTGTTAATTAATGTTCTCTATAGTAAAAACAGAATGATAGATTTTAAAATATTGAGGGTCAACTTGAAAAATACATAATGCGATTGTAATAAATATCAATCATTATTTTCAGTATGGACTTAAAATATACAACTATAAAATGTATTTATCTAAAACATGAATAACGAAATAGCACCTTCAAAAGATTTAAGAGATACCAATTAATACTCGAAGTTATTTTAAATTACTCTTGAATCTAGTGCAAAAGATTATATTAGGATCTTAGATTCATGCATATTTGATAATCTTTATGGAAATAGTGGAGCAATCTTGGAAATTATTTTTAAATCTTATCAGCTAAAAGTTGATATCTTCAATTCGGATTTTTTCAATATTTATGTCTAAGATAAAGGAATCATTAATGTTATTAAGGGTGAAGAAGTGTTCATAAGATTTATTAAAAGCTCTTTTAAAAATACCTCTACCTAAACAAAAGGTGGAATAATTTCATTTGATATATCAGAATTTCCAGATCTTAAGCCATAGAGTAGTATAAATTAAATAGATATAGAAGGTTGTTTTTTCATAAATAATTACAAGACTAGATAATAGATCGGAGAACATTTCTATTTTTAGACCTTAGGTTATTTGATATATATAAATTAAGACAATAGCATCACTTTAAATATAAAAGACTCAGTAATATCATAACTTGGAAAACACTTTTTCTTTGATTTTAATTAGACCTATATAGCAAATTAAGTAGAAGAAGCTCAGTAGTATTAAGATTAATAGTTAAATTAAGGTTATGGAACTGCAATTGTTTTAGGATCTAGCATTAAAAAATTTAGTGGAAATTCTATGGTTTATTCACAGAGAAATTTGTTTTAAGGGTGTAGATATGGTTATAAAGGAGGTATTTTTCTAATAAATTCGTACAATTAGTCATTCTTCTCTGACATTGAATCTAATTTTACACACAATTAAGCGATGTATGGTAGTGCTATTTATTGTCTAAACTGCGCCTAATTTAATCTAACTAAATCGAGATTTGTTTATAACTAGGCAATTAAAGGAGGTGCAATCTTTCTTGAATATCTTCGATATTTTACTAATTAAGTAGTTAGTCTTGATTAAAATTTGCAGGATGTACAGATTGAGAATATTACCTCATTTGAAAGTGGAGGATTCCAATATTTTGCTGGTAACAACTTTAACAGTTCAAACTCTTTATTAAAATGCAGGTTCTTTAATATAAAATCCTCTTTAAACAGTATTTAAAATTCATTAGATTTTTAACCTACTCAAAATAAATTATATGGTGGAGGTATATTCATGTTTTCAGTAAAGCAAGTAGATCTTAATATCAAAGATTCCTTTTTCGAGAATATTGAAGCATTACAATTGGGAGGGATATTGTTATTGGATTCTAACTATTTTTCCTAGTTTATTTTGCAAAATAACAGTTTTAAAAATATTTCTGGCAGAAACCAGGGAGCTATGATCTATTCTTAATCTCAAAATTATTAGAAAGCTGTATTAATTGACAACAGAATAGACTGCCATCCCTATTCTAACATTTCAGAGGAGCAGAATCAATTTATGAAGGGCGAAGAAATATTATCAACCAGTTAAACAGGGTCTCATATCTTCTACTTTGAAAGTGAATAATAATCAACTCTATTATCATAAAATAACACAGTAATAAATTGCATCAACTAGTACTCTGAAATAATTGGAAATTTACAAAGATAGATTGTAAGTGGAGGAGTTTATATGCTAAATACAAATATTGTTATGACTGATATCAATAGTACATATGCTAATAATTCTGCTTATTTTGGTGGAATTTACTATTGTTAGTCATGCAGTCTATTTTTAGAGAAAAATGTTTATTAAGACAATCTGTGTTATTGGGGTTGTGTAATATACTCTGTTAATCCAATAGATATAGCTATATCAAATAGTAAATTCATTAATAACATTCCAAATATGGCAGGTGGTTTGATAAAATAAGCAGGGGAAATTCAAACTTAGAACATAATTTTAGTTCAGAATTGTTAGATTATAATAGACTTAAAGAAGTAATTTGTATATCAAGATAACAGAATCTTAGTATTAAGACAAGGGATAGTTATTGATCTTTACATTGTTGAGAATTTCACTCTTAAATCTACAAATTTCTCCTTCATCAATAGTTTTTAGATAGCTGAATCCTCTAAATTTCCATATTAGATTTTAGGATTAAAAGCTTCACAATTAAAAAGCATTAAAATAATAAATTGCAAATTCACAGGAGATTAAAATTTTAGAGAAATGAAATTGCTAGAAACAATAAAAGCTGGTAAATTTTACGAATCCTATGGTTCATTGATGTATTTCGAATAAATTACTCTACCAATGATATTTTTAAATAATACAATTTCGAATTTCTAAATCATGAATTATATAGTTCAAATGGAATTTATTTACAACTTTACAGATATTAATTCTACTTATCAAAATAATACTGCAAAATATGGAGGGGCCTATAGTTTATATTATGTTAATAATACATCAATCGAGAATGTCTAATTCTTAGATAATCTTGCTTAATTTGGAGGTGCAATTGAAATTTTGGATAATTCAAATGTTATTATTCGAAACAGCATTTTTAAAAATAACTTTGCAACTATTCAGGCGGGTGCTATATAATTATAGAGATAAACTTCGAATGAATAATCTAGGTCTAATGTTTTAATAAGTAACAGTCTCTTCTAAAATAACTCGGGAATTTAGTAAGGAGGAACTTTTAATATTGATGATGATTCCTTGTCCTTTTAACTTTAGGATTCTGTAATTATTGATTCTAAAGCAAGTATAAAATTGCTTGAATATAGAGGTGCTGGAGGTTCTATATTTATTTCATTAGCAAGAAGTGTAATACTGAAAAACGTATCTATAACAAATTCTTTGGCTTTTGAAGGTTAAATAATGAAATCATAAAGTAAAAATGTAATAATTGAAATTTATGATAGTGCTATTAAATGCTAGAAGAACTACATTTATAGTGAAATTGTAAACATACTAATAAATGAATAATTCAACTATACAAATGCTTTTGCTATCGAAAATAGTAGATAATTAAACTCAACTAATAATAAATTTTATAATTGCTATAACAGCTTTGCTGGTGGAGTATTTAGCTTATTTAATACAAAAGCTTTTTTCAATTAATCCATTTTTTACAGTAATTTTTAAGATTTAATTATTTATATAGATAATAGCGCTATGCAAGGCGGAGCGTTTTCAATATCATAAGCAAATCTTTTATTATATGATTGTACCTTAAGATATAATTTAGCATTTC